GAAATCAAATCATTAAAATCTCTGTGAAAGGGTTCGACGGACAATCAATTTACGTGACGCGTCGAACGCGAGCGAGGCTTACTCGATGGGACTCGAGGAACCTCAGGAGGCTGTTAATGGGTGTCGTTGAACGCTCGTTTCAAGAGAGAGAGAGAGAGAGAGAGAGCTGAAAGGGAGCTGCGAAGAAACACATAAGAAACAGAAGGCTCACCTTGCGACGTAGGGATAAGAAGCTGAGCCCCTTGAATGCCTTGAACCAATTGACCGGACGTTAGGATGAATTGAGGCATCGCGACCGGTTGCGGCTGAGATAATAGCTGAGGTAATGTCGCCATTGGCGTCGAACTCGGCGGCAGGAGATGAGGGGCAGCTGTCGTGTTCGAGGCTGTTGGTACCGTGCCACCTGAACGTGAAAAGTCATTGGCTGAAAGAAGAATCTGACGATCTAACTCCTTTCCCGTCGTCTGGACCATATCTTTTATTTTATTTCTTTTTTTTTTTTTTTTTTTTTCTTTAAATACAACCGCGAATAATCTGTATAATCTTGCCAAAGCAATCTATAATAGCACTTTGTTTCTTTTGGTGTGTAATCCTTTAACTTTAACACTAGTTGAGCGAAGCAACACAAATAGAGAACGACGCTGCGTTATTTCTAGCGACGTGAAGGCTCCGTTATGAATGGACAGAGGAAGGATTTCGAATAATCGAAGCGATTGAAAAGGGGCCGTCGACGAAGTTTTTCTCCGTGTCAGAGTTTGTCGGGCTGTGTACAATGACTGCACTTGTGTCCATACCGGAGGAGCTGACAGTGAGATTCAGGGGCGTGTTGATGAGCTGGTTGTTAGTCAGTCCCGCTGTCATTCCCTGGAGACCGGCGGCCAGCGACGCGACTTGCGGCAGGTTTTGCAGATTCGCTAGATTCTGAAGGTTCTGCAGGGTCACCATGCCTGCCACTGTCATGCAACAAACAACAAAAATACAACAGATGCAGTGACACATCGTGAATACCTTACACGGTTCTTTGCTTTTGGTTGAAACTGAAATTTCGAGAGATCGACAAATCGGCTCGCTCATTCTCGACTTACTCGTCCCGTTGAGATGTGCTTGCGCCACTGCGGCCCGTTTCGCCTGTGGCAGATTTTCAGGCGACGGGCTATTCTTCCGCGAGTTCTTCATTTCATCCATCATCATCTGATGTTCATGGAGCGTGCCGGTGATGGCTGCCACTGGTTCAGGGCTGCCAACGCTACTCCTGTCGCTGTCCTGTAACAAACGCGCGTCCAAATGGTGAGCTACGGTCAGGTCATTTGCATAATTGCAACTTACGTCGATCATACATTACAAATTCTGCGCTTCGATCGCTGGTGAGGAGGGGGAGGGGAAACGGACGTGGAAAACAAAATGACAGACACGGGCTCGGTCGTGCAACGAAATCGAGCTGCTTCTTTTTTTTTTGTTTTTTTCGTTTTAATTTTTTCCCCCCTGTTTTTTTTTTTTTTTTTTTTTTTTTTTTTTTTGTCAAATTTATCGAAAGCCAGAAAAAAAGCAGCCGCCGGGAAAAAATATTAATTACGATTGAAGAGGCACCGGTGGGAACACGGCCGAAAAGTCCGAACTGCCGGAGCAACGCGCTCTGTCAACGGCGAAAATGGCGATACTTTATTTCGTTTATTACGCCGCGTTTGAAACCCCTTCGCATTTGTATCGTATTGATAACAATTATAAAATATTTCGGGCCGCCGCCACCGCCGCCGCTGCGAACAAAGTGCTTTCGACTATATGCGTCGTCGCAAATTTTCCTCCACGCCTTTCCAGCTTTCCGGCTGGGACCTTTTGTCGGCCAAACGGTGTTGCCCAAATATTAATGGCCCTCGTTAAGGGAATTGATATCGTTAATATCAACATTTGCCTGTCGACCATTTCCCTTATAATCGTACAGCGAAACAGTATCTTACGTGCGAACGTTTCAAACTAACGTTCGATCAACGCCAACACTTATTGGTCATTGGAAATCCTCGTTGAACGAACCGTCGAACTGTTTACCAAAGATGTCAAAAACGACGAGAGAAATGCGTGAGAAAGTGCACACGTCTTCTACGCCATATATATTTCCATCCGAAAAGAAATACCGGCCGTATCGATTGTTGTATTTCGCAAGTTCGTTTGGCGTTAAAAAATTCAAAAGTAGAAGGTGCATGAGCGATTCAAGAGCTCATAATTTTCCAGCGACGCGTAATAAGGGGGATGAACGTGAACGCGCGTTGATAAAACTTGTGCGGAGGAAAGCAGTTGAAGCGGCGTCGTTGTTTGAAGAGAGTTCCGCCTGATACTGCGGACTGATTATTTCACGAAGGTCAGGCAAAAGCCCGGGCAAACTTTCAACTTTCTACCTGTTTAAGGACAACGTGGACGCGATCGCCGGACTGAACCTACCCCAAGGGGATTCGATAAACGTCCCAACTTTCGATGACGCTCGTCGAGTGGCCAGAAATACTGTCCAACTTTTTAAATTATCGATTCCCCGCTGCCGACGTCCCGCCGATATAATTAATTCCCCGTTGCGTAAGCAGCCTGACATACTGGAAGTAACTTTCGAACACAAGAACACGAAGGCACACTGAATTCGTTCTCTTCTTTTACCATCACGATTTGACACCGTCGGTCCTTGATGTGTACAAAGCCCGCTAATTAGTTAGATTAAAGTCACTTTCGAACGAACGGTGATTGACGTTTTTACGTTTAATTAACTTCGGAGGAAGATATTGTTTGCGTCGGTATCTAAAGATCTTTAAATGCAATTTGGAAATTGAATTAAATACGTTCGATTTTTTCTCTCTCTCTCTCTCTCTCTCTCGCTGTTTTTCTTTTTTCTTTTTTTTTTATTATTATTATTATTACCGAGGCGTTTCGTAAACACTGCTGAAATACCAGTGAAAATTATCGGACATAATTGCATTAACGTAATTCACGCGATTATCCGAATTCGTTTAATTATATTTAAACGCGAGATTTCGACAATTTCGTACGTAACAAACTGCGAAAACGAGACGGAACAACTTTTGAAATCCTGTTTTCCGTCCGATTCAATTTCCATCCTCGAAGGAACTCTTGCACCGGAGACAAGTTGTTCATCCGACATTCTAACCGATTATAACCCCCGTGCAACGACGGTGGCTTTTCAGCCGTGAACAGACTAAAAACTAAAAAATCCAGGCACCGGACAAGTCGTCCGGTTCAACCCCTTTCATCGGGGTTCCCCTTGCACCGTGCCCGATTTTTTTTTCCTCTCCTTGCTGGCCGAAATCAATCGAACGGGTACGCGCAAAGGTTTTAGCACCGGGGCTCGCAATCATTCTCGCCAAAATGCTCAATTATACGCGCGTGGTTCGTTAACGTACCACGCTTTTTATTGCGGCGGCACGTTTAACGCTGAAAATTGATTAATAATCATTCACGGTCCAACTGGCCGACGTTAAAATGCTTCGCTACGAAATAATGGTGGTAGACACACACGCCGTTCGATAGGGCATAAGGGGATAGGGAGTGGGTGGCGATGTGTATGTGTGTGTGTGTGTGTGAGAGAGAGAAAAAAAAAGGGGGAACAATGAAACCCGTAGCGCGGGCGACGAATCATCGACGAATAGAAAAATCAGCGAAACGAAGTCGACCGTTCGCTCGATATACACTTTGTGTGTCCCCCCGGAAACGTGTGTCGAACGGAACGCGACAAAGGTTCGTCGTCGATTTCTCGAATCGAACCAGAAGCGGGTTTATAATATTTCGCGCGACGTAACCAACGCGACGTTCCTTTTGTGAGCGCGGCGAATTCTTTCGCGAAATGAAGCTCGTTAACGAAATTCTCCCGCGATAATACGATTTCGCGCGCGTGTGCAACCACTGACGGGGGAGGGGGCGAAGGAGAGGGGCAGTGTCGAAAAACGACCAACGTCGAAAAATTGCATGTTGCTGCTCTCTCTCTCTCTCTCTTCCTCTCTGCCTCCCTTCCTGTCTTTGTATGTACACGTACACCACATATCGACGAGAGATATTATATAAACATAAATAATTCGCGTTGCGAAATTTTTCTATTGTGCAGCCGGCGATATTCCAAATTAACAAGCCGACGCGGTGGTATAGGCACCACCACCGACCGTGGGAAGATGGGGGAGGGGAGAGGAGGGGAGGGGAAGGGAGGGGGGTTTGGTTCAATCAGCGCCGTACAACGATATATTGGCAATCAAGCCGGTGAATATTTTTTTATACCGCTGCCCCTGTACGATTACAAAGCTGCACAAAGGCTCGGTACGGATTGTCAATTTTCTTAAAATACCACCGGCGAATGTACAATCTCGCGGATACCGGCGTTTCAATGCGCGAGGGGCGAAGATTGGAATTTGTGGCAATTATTCCCCACCGGATTTTACGTTAGCCGTGCATTCGCCTCTGTTTTTACCGTAACTTATTACCGATACCAGCTATATTACACGTGACACTTTCCACTATCGACCGTAACTTTATCTTCGCGTTCTCCTCGCGTTCGTGTCTTTGACGCGTTCCGCGTTCATAGAGCTCTCTCTCTCTCTCTCTCTCTCTCTCTTCCCCTCCATTTTCCTTTAACTGATCGTTACATTAGAATTGTAGAGCATTATCGCGTCGCAGCGTCCTAGGACAGGAGAAAATATCTTTGTTTCGTATTTTATTTCCAATCGAAATTTTATTTCCACGAACTATGATGGCCCGCTGATTCCATTTACTGGACTCTGATGGACCTCTGTTCTCTGTTATCCGACCGTTTTATCAACCCTCCATGTCGCCGTACCGATTTCAAAATTACACACATTGTCTCTTCGTTGTCTTTTTTTCTTTCTTTTTTTTTCTTTCTTTCTTTCTTTCTTTCACTTGCCACGACAAGTGAAAGATAAAAATCTGTAGAATTCCATTTACAGAAACGTGCGACTCGGGGCCATCAACGTCGAAGAAACGTCAATTTCGCCAGCGACGCGTCTTCTCCCGAGATAATACGCGAACGGGGGAGGGGAGAGGCTAAAAGGTGGAGAAAAAAAAAAGAGAGAAACAGGCGTGTATTAATCATTTGTCCTCGTATCCCCGGCTGGTTCGTACCGCGCGATATATAATTCATGCATATTTACGGGTTGCCGGAGGAATAATTAACGAACGGCAGCGCATTAAGGCGCGTCTCGCGCGCGCGTGCACACGTACGTTCACGTACAGACGGCTTCTTAGAAAGACAATCTAAATTATAATAAATCGATGGAGTACGCACGAGACCTGCCCCCTCCTCCCGGTGCTCTACCACCAGCGTCTCACTCTTTCTCGCTTTCGGCGTGTGTCGATGGCGACGCCGGTTGTACAAAGTAATGTTACCCAGGCGCGCGGCCTCTTTGCATAATGGCATGGAAATATGCTGGAACGTGTATCGCCATAGTTGGATACAGATTAAGCGTGTTAGAGCTTCGACACCCGACTAATTCGCGAAAAAGGACTCTTCTCGTCTAACGGGCTGACACGATCCATGAATAAATTCGACCGGAGCTTTCTCCTCCTCTTCCCTCTCTCTCTCTCTCTCTCTAGCCGACGGTCAAGCAGAGAGAAAGACTTGGCCGGGGACCAGGACCGACTTTTCGCCACCACTTTCCACCGATGACGAAACCATTTTGCCAGAGCAGACTCGAGTGCTTTTTCTCCGCTTCTTTTTTTTCTTTTTTTTTTTTTTTTTTTTTTTTTTAGAAATTTCAAGCTCGTCCGTCTTCGATTTTCATTAGAAATTCGAAAGTTTCGAAAGACAACGAGGAATCAGGGGGTTTGAAGAAGAATCTCGCTGGAGAGTGGGGCAGGGAAGGAGAAAGAAAAATGTATAACGATGCGGAATCCCGAGAACGGTGGAAGTTATCAAACGATTCGACCAGCTCTGGGCTGCCATTTTTTTTATACATATATATATATATATATAAAAGAGGCGCCTATATCCTCTTTTCCGGGGCGCTGTAATTTCGAATTTTCGTCAAAGTCGTACAATGGCGAGCGGCGCGCTCGCGGCCGCGCCGCCATTGGTATCGGGGCATTTCATTGCATAAAAAATAGATAAAGCCCGGTCGATAGGTAACGAACGAAAATAGGAGGCGCAGGAGCAACGGCGGTGGTAGTTCAATTTTTTTTTTT